GTAGAAAAGTGAGAAACATTACTTCGCACAGCTTTCCGCTTTCGTTTCAGTTGTGTCATTTTATCTACAGCTTCACCGGTCGGCGCCATTGCCAGAGTAGTAGAAAAGAACAAAAAACAAAACTAAGTTTTAATGTCGGAAGTAAAATAATTCAGCAAGTATAATCCAACAGTAGGAAGTATAAGTTCAAGTTCCTGTTTTGTATTTTTTTCCGGCACTAGATGTTAGGAGATGCATATTTATTTCCTAACATAAAAATAAAGTATAGAACAAGCAAAAACATTTATGAATTAAAAAAAAAATAGTAAATGATGCCATTCAAGGAGGTAATGTAAAGGGTAATGTTATTTTTAATAGTTCACTGGCTTTGCCGCAACATACCCTTTGAAAATCATGAAGTAGGAAAATCACCTGATTCTGTGAGAAGTTGTTGAACATTTCTGAAGGGAGATCTGGTATTCCTATAATGGGAAAGACTTCTTACCCCCCCCCCCCAGGAAAGGTGTAAGTAGAGAAGGACAAATGCAAAATTTGTTTTTCTATTTAAGCAGAAGAGACATGCCAAAGTAAAACATAAAATTAGCAAAGCAAAACCTTGTGTTTGGCAAAGATTTAGTCAATGACCCAATCAATTTCGAGAGCACACAGGTACGGATCTCTCTTCGTCAGTAGGAAAGAAATCTGCCTGGAAAGCAACGGTCACAATTATACCCTATGGCAGCAGTAAGGTAAACAAAAAAAGTAGTGCTATCTTCAACAGATATAAGTAACAAAATTGAAAAATTTAGTTAATGGAATTTTAAAAGCATTAGGAAGGAATGTGTTAGACTTAAAGTTATTAACTAAACAAGATAAACCTTTGTGATTGTGAATAACTTCAAGTAAATCCCGTTCACCAATTGAAGAAGCTTTTTGAATAATTTTTGCAGACCCAAAGTCAAAATTATGATTAAATTTTTAACTATGATTAGCAGTTGAAGACTTGTTAATTTCGCCTTTCTGGACATAAGATTCATGTTCCTTGATACGAAACTTTAATGCTTTCTTTGCTTGGCCGATATATCTCAAACCATGCTGACACAATGCACTATAAATTCCCCAAGAATTAAAGTTTGAATTGGAATCTTTAAAAATCGAATCATGGCTTTTGTTCAGAGGTGAGAAAATGACTGCAAAATTGAACTTCTGAAGAATCCATGGAATTTTATAACTGACACAAGGATGAAATGGAAGCACGATAAGGTTATCGATGTTATTTTTAATAGCGGAATATCTTCTTTGATGGTAAGCTGAAATTTTTTTAAGGGTTTTTATCAATGACCACCTGAGAAAATACGAAGTCAATGGCTACTGATATCAAATAATTGAGTTCATTAGTAAACAAAGGTTTGGAGATTCAAACTTTAAGATTGTGAAATACACAATAGTAAAAAGGAGCTTGCTTATCTGAGTGACATGACTTAACATGGGGTGGTTAAATGAATGGAAAAGTGTAAGTAAACTGTAATGCTGAAATCATATGTATTATGAAGTATAAGAATATCAAGGAAGGGAAGGGTATTGTCAAATTCTGTTCCAAAAGGGAACTGGAAGGCTGCTGGATCAATCAAATTTGTAATAGGTAAAATTTGAGATAAATCTTCTTTGTTACTATCAAAAGCACATACATAGTGAGTCCAGAAATGACTTAGTGAATCCACCTAGTTTCTCAGATAATTTGACCTCAAAATAGAGCATATAAATGTCAGCAAGTACAGGACTGAGGGGATTATCCATAGTGAATTCTTCAATTTGGTGATAATATTCATTTTGGAAAATAGTTTGTTTGACTCAAAGTGATATTTTAGTAAGAGAAATTAACTCAGTTTCAGTATGTATGAAATGGAATTCTGAAAGCCTAGTTTCAAGACAGTTTAGTACTATTCTGACTGAAGAAATGGAACACACTGAAGAAAAATCACTGGGGAGAAATTTTTCGAAGGAATAGATAAAAGTATTAAAATATAACCTTCAGTTCCTCAAATCATTGCCCCTGTTAAAAAAGCTTTTAAATTCTGAAAAGTTTCAATAACACAGAAAGACGTAATGTGCTGCTTAGTTACTCATTACGTGCATTTTAATAACAAATCGATTGTTTTGAATCTTAACTGAAAGGAATAGGAGATCTAACATGAAATTCATTCTAATACAAACATTATAATTTCTAAAGCTGATAAGGGCAGACAGATTGTAGTTATGTAGTAGCATGCACATGCATTGATGGAGTCCCGAAACTTGTTGATAAAGGCCCATAATGCTCGATTACTAAAGATCCTTCAACTTCTGATCTCTCAAAAGTAAAAATAGCTGTTCAGTCTTCTCATGTCTACCCAACTCAGTTTAAAAAATGTCTCGTTCCACCTATAACTGTGCTAGGTTTTGTGATCTCCTCAAAGTCTGCAAAATTGGAATTCCATTTTGACTTATAGTTTCCAACTTGAGAATGGCGTCATATCCTTTGGCCAAATATTTAGTCTCCAGATGTTCTCCTTTACTTTTTAACAATACTCACAGTGTAAAAAAAAATTCTTTTAATGTTATCAATAAACTTAAACATTTTTCTCTCCTTCGTTCCATTATGGCTTCTTTTTATGTTAAATCACTGTTTACTAATGTTTCAGTCAAAAGAGCATTAAATTGTTTTGAAACTAGACTTTGAGAATTTCATTTCACATGTCCCGAAATTGAAGAGTTAATATCTCTTACTAAAGTCTCTTTGTGTGAAACAAACTTCCAAAATGAATATTATTACCAAACTGAAGGATTAGCTATAGGTAATCCCTTCAGTCCTGTACTTGCTGACATTAACATGCACTATTTTGAGGTAAAATTATATGAGAAACTACCTTTTCATCTCTGGATTTCGTATGTAGACAACACTTTCACACTTTTTGATAGTAATAAAGAAGATTTACCCCAGATTGTATCTGTTATAAATTTGATTGATCCAGCCCTCCAGTTCTCTTTCGAAACTGAATCTGACAATGCCGTTTCCTTCCTTGATATTTTTATAATTCGCATTGAATCCCATTTCAGCACTACTGTTTACTGTAAATGTTTTTCTGTTTGTTTACCGCCCCATGCTATGTCATGTCAGCTGGCTAAACAAAAAACGGCTTTTTTTACTGTTATGTATTTCGGGCTGTCAAAATTTGTTCCTCCAAACCTGTACTTGCTAATGAACTCAGTTATTTGAAATCAATTGCCATTGACCTAAGATTTTCTTCCATGGTGATTGATAAAGCCATTAAAAAATTTTCAGCTTACCATCAGAGAAGACATTCCGCTCTTAGAAATAACATTAATAATCTCATCATGCATCCATTTCATCTTTCTGTCAGTTATAAAATTGCACAGCTTCATCAGAAGTTCAGTTTTCAAATTATTTTCTCTTATATCAACAAAAATTCAGGGTTTGATTCTTAAAAATTTCATTTCTGACTTTTCTTAGGGCATTTATAGCATATCCTGTCAGTGTGGTTTGAGATATATTGGACAAGAGTATTAAAGTTCTGTATCGAGGAAGACAAATCTTATGTTCCAAAAGGCAAAATTAACAAGGCTTTGATAGCAAATCATAATTTGAAATTCATTCATAATTTTGACTTAAGGTTTGTAAAAATTAGTCAAGAAACTTCTTCAATTGTTAATATTTTTTTTTTAATTTTTTTTTTTTAAGCTTTTCACATTCACAAAGATTTAGCTTGTTTAATTAATGACTTTAAGTCCAATCAAGTCCTTCCTAATGCTTTTAAAATTCTATTAATTAAATTTTTCAATATCTGTAAATATAAGAGGTCCATATCAAAAATGAACCTCTGTATTCATGAAATTTTGACTACATCACATTGTTTTTCTTTAGGAAACTTCGTAATTGGAAATACATTAGATTATCCAGAATTCTGGTTATTTGGATACTTTCTATTTGTTTTAGCCAAGTAAAATTCAAGTTATTTATATATTTTCAGTTTTCTTGTTAAAATATGGTATAAAAAGATATGTTGTTCATATTTTGCATAAATTCACATTTTTAACATAGAGGTATCATATAAGGGTCCTTTATAATTACTTTTAAGTTAGCAAATGCAAAGGATGTTTTATTTTTGAAAATTAATTATATATAAATCACAAAAACTATCACATTCAAATAAGAAATATATTTAAGAATTAATATTCAACAACTGTCTGTCATGCTGGTTTCAACCTTTCTGTGGATTGTACAAATATGGAAAATGAAAAACCTTAGAAAGAAATTCAGTTTCTTAATTCTGTGTATTTAAACACAATATTCTATTGCAGATTATGCTTTAATTGACAATGAATTTAAAATTTTGGGGCAGTTAAGTGATACCATTTAAATGCTAGTAAAGTACCTCTTTCGAAACTGAATCTATACTGAAGTGCTCTGTACAGATATGAGATTACTTTTAAAGTATTTTTTATATTGATAGAATTTGGCACAGTCAGTGTAATATTTGTTGCAGCGATTCTTTTGCAGCATTTATCAATGAACTACAATGCCTGTTGTAAATAAAAAAAATTAATTATTTATTTAAAATTAATCAGAGGAAAACATATACTAACTATTGATCAATTTCTTTTGTATTGTATTTATATCTATATTTGTAAATGCTATGTAACTAAAAAATATATTTCTTTTTATTTATTTTAAAGTTATTTTTCAATTTCTCGACCACTTTTTATTTTTAATTTTTCCATTCTTCTCTTCATTTTAAAAGTGATTTTCCTCAGTATTTTTATTAATATATAAAATTCAGATAATTTGCAGTGCTTGCTTGTCACTGTATATTTGTATTTAACAAGACTCCTATGCATTTATGAGGTAGGTATAATACAGTAATATTTAAATGTGTGAATTTGTAATTCACTTTTCATTCTATCTTATTGTAATATTTTTGAAAGTATTAGGAATAGGAATTTTCAAAAATTTTTCCCCTTAGATATGGAAAGAAGGTGAATCATTACCTGTCAAAGTGTTACGAGGTCATAGCCAGTCTGTTTTAATGTGTGTTCAATTCAGGATTTGTGATTGGTTGTTATCTTGCTCTAAAGATGGCACACTTAGGGTATGTAATTTAGCTAGTATTAATTTTACATAGAAATGTTAATTTTTGACAAAATAAAATCTATAAAATGGATATGATTTATTTTTAATCCATGATAATATTTTCTTATAAGTCCGCAGTATGTTCAGAACTTTTGCCTTACAGTTTTGTTCTGTATAAATATTGTTTATTCAGTAAGAGATGTTAAATTTTAGAAACAAACTCTTTTTGTACTTAAGTCCATTGAGCATGGGATAAAATGCATTGCTATTTGAAATGATTAACCTACTTTCAAATAGTTTTCACTTTTGAAATTCACAAACACAAAAAGACTTCTAATAATATCGTAAAAAGAAAATGTCTGTTCTGATTTTAAGTGCTCTATGTGAATTTCATTATATGCATGAATGACATCCAGAAAAGAGTTTAATTCATATTTTGTTTTAGGATATTGTTTGCTACTGTCTCTGCTCTGCCACTTCAGTGCAGTTTTTGAGATTATGTAGTCTTGTTGACGAAGGTGACACAAACCCATTGGCTTTGAGATACACTCACTCAAAAAAAGAAAAAGAAAGAAAGTTTTATATCTGCCATTCTACCTGGCTGATTGACAAAATTCAATTGCATTTTTCATGTCTTGAAAGCACAATTTAGAATAGATATTAGATTTATGTATAACATTATATTCTAACATGCAAATTTGGATTCAAAATCAGACTCTTTTTTTTTTTTTTTTTTTTTTTTTTGAAATAACAATTTAATTGGCAGTCAAAATTTTAACCCCAAAGGGGGGGTTTAAATTTTGTATATTTAAAAATATCCACTTTTAAGTTAGATATACTTAATTTCTTGTTCTATAATTCGAAATTTAACTGTAATCCAAAATAAATTTATATATTTTTTCTGATTTACTTTAAAAATTTGATTTGATATTTAAATTATTTTATAAATTTTTTTAAACAAGTTTTGAATTATAATCTATTAAAAGTTTACCATCATCTTATTATAGATTTATTTTTAAGCACACCTGCAAAAAATTTAAGTTTTCTATGTAAAATTTCCAATGTTTTGCACATTTTTAATTTTGACATATTTTTTAGACATATTTGTTCATATATCCATACATCCGGGATTAGCTCAGATAGTCCTGTTTTCTTAGTGTAATTTAGGTTTGAGAATTGTATGAATAATGAGATTTTTTTTTTTATAAATTTTTAGACCTATATGTTCAACATCGTGTTTTAAAACATTCTCTTATGGCTGTGCATCTCTCAGCCAACCTTGGAACAAGCTCTGCCATTGATTTTGCCGGATGTGTGGCTGCTAGTCTCGCCACAACCTTTTACTTTTTTCAGAGTGTTTATGTTGTTTTCATGTGTGAATTATCTCAACTGTATGTTTTTTATCATTTTATTATTCATTTTTTGTCTCATCATTTAGCCATGGACAAAAGAAAATATGCATTTAATATTGACCTGCAACAGGAATACGAATTTTTGAAATTGTGTACTGATAGTAACAATGAACATGCTTTTTGCACACTATGTACTCTAGAATTTTTGTTGCACATAAAGGAAAGGGTGATATTGAAAACCATGTGATAACAGCTAAGCATAGGAATGCTATTAATGCTACTGCTTCAGCAAACATAAGAGATTTTTTTTTTTAAGCCAAAGATGCGAATAACAATAACAGTGATTTGAAATGTACTGTTAAAGATGCTGCATTTTCATACAACATTGCTAGATAGGAACTCAGTTTCAAAATATCACGCAGCACTTCTCAAGTGGTTAAAAAATTTGATAAATATTGATGACCCAAAATTTTTATCTGCTACAACCAAAATTGAAGTAATTGTTGTTAATATTATTTCTCCATTTATATTTGATTATGTTTTATGTTCTTTGGAAAACAGTAACAATAGATAGCTCAAGCAGAAGTGAAGTAAAACTTGTTTCAGTTGTAACAAAATATTTCAGTCTCGAGAAGGGAATTCAAGTTAAACTTTTGAATTTTGATGAAGTGTCAGGTGAAGCTGCTCCAATTTTGACTCTGTACCTTTTGCAATCTGTGAAAAAAATATAAACTTGAAGAAAAGTTGGTGTGTTATACTGTTGATAATACTAACAGTAATTTTGGTAGTATGGAGAGAAAAGGGAATGAAAATGTGTTCAGAAAAGTTGAAATTGATTTAGATTGATCTATCTTAGGAATGGGTTGTTCAGCCCACATTGTACAGAATTCAGTATGTACAGCTTGTGATTCTCTACTCCTGAACATTAGTGCTATAAAAATTTATAAATATTTTCATATATCTATACAATAAGAGCAACAAAACTTAGAGTTCTGTGAATTTGTGGAAACAGATTGTTAGTTTGTTACCTGCAATAGAAAGAATTCTTTCTATTTTTGATAGCCTAAAATCATGTTTCTTATTTTGTGAAAGACTATCTAAAATTATTATCTGATTCTTTTTTTAAATCTGGAAAGGGGAACTGTTTCTGAAATTTTTATGTGGTACCCTATAGTTATTTAATGATGTAGTTCTGAAATTGGAAACTAATTCTATCACAGCAGCAGAAGTATTTCCGACATATTCTGAATTAATTTGTCAACTTGAGGAAACTCCTGAACATGTTCTGCCAAAGAATTGTTATGCACTCTGAAAGAAAATAAGGATGTTCAAGAAGTAAAATTCTTCTCAAGCGTAGACAATTTTTGTAATTCTAGTATCCAGTACTTATAGTAGTGGATAACTAATTTTGATAATAAGTTAGTGGATAACTAAGTTAGTAACTTTCTGTAATTCAGAAGGGAATGTATAAGTTGTTAATGAAATTATAAAAGATTCCAAAAATATTGATGACATATTTGATGAACATACATTGTTAAACAAGTAATTCAATGGTAGATTGTGTTCAGGCCCTGAAAAAGTACCAGTTGCTATTAAAGAGAAGTGGAAAGTAATTTTAAGGCATTTAAAAAATCTCATATTTTATGTTACAATATTCCTAAAATGTTGAGTTTGCAATCTCTTCGCCTGGGACATCTGTTCCATTTGAGAGATTTTGAATCATGGAGAATATTTGGCCTGCAGAAAGGGGTAAACTTTCAGTATCTACTGTTAAACATCTTCTATGTATTAAAATTATTTCAGAACTTTCTTTTCGTTAATTTTATGATGTAATTAAAATAAACAAACCGTTTCTGAAAAAAGCCTTGTCTATTTAAAAACACAACCGAATAAATAAAATTAACTGTTGAGACTTTTAAGTAATTTCAAAAATATATCCTGGGTTTGATCCACAAAATGTGTGATAGGCCTAACATTTGTTATAAACGATAATAGACTAAACAAATGTATCTTCACTTTGTTACAATCTTGAATAAAAATGCAAAAATTATTTTGAACCTTAAATTTCCAAATCAACTTTTTTTTAAGATGATTCATTTAAAATGTCTTTATTCTCATTATTTTATAATGCCTAATAAATATTTATTAATAATATAAAAAGCTATTTTTCAGATTTATAAAGTATATTAATAAAAAGTTTAAAGTTTTTTTTACATTTATCATTTTATCATTTTCTGTTTTACTTAACTTCATTTTATGTGCAACAAAAATGCATATTTAATGCATCACGTATGTATTCGACACTTCTGACTACGTCAAATACACTCTCTATCGACGTACCAAGAAGGAGTTGTCCGATAGAGACCAGAATTGGTGGATAGGAAGAATATGTACAGAATAGAAAATGATTAGAATTTCAGAACAATTGAATGATTTATTTCAGAGTGACATAGTTACAAAGTAACAAGCTAACTAAGGTGTTGACCCACCTCTAGCCTGGATGCAAGCTGCCAGACAGTGTGGCATAGACTGATAAAGCTCTTGGATGGTTTCCTGTGGTATTACTTGCCAAATTTGCTCCAATTGTCGGGCTAGGTCATCAACATTCCCTGTTAGATACAGTCGTCTTCCCATGATATCCTAACATGCTCGATGGGAGAGAGATCTGGCTGGCCAAGAAAGTGTTTGACAAGCTGTAAGACAGTTCATAGCTACAGCTGCCATATGTGGACTGGCATTATCTTGCTGAAAAATATGGGCAAGGTACTGCAATAGAAACGATAGCAAAACAGGTCTCAGAATGTAGTTGACGTACCACTGTGCTGTAAGTGTGCCTCTAATGACAGCCAAAGGAGTCTGGCTATCAAGGGAAAAGGCACCCCAGACCATAACTCCTGGTTGAGGACCTGTGTAGCATGCAGTAGTGAAAGCAGAATCGGTATGCTGCTCTGAGCATTTCCAGACACGTCTTTTCAATGACTGTCGTGACATAATTGTAAGCGTGATTCATCGCCGAAGACTATACGTCCCCAGTCACCATCGTTCCAACCTGATTGAGCCAAGTGCCACTGTAATCTGGCTCGACAGTGTGCCGGTGTGAATGGCAGGTAGCATAACAGTCAGGACGAGTGTAGATTTCACTCTATGAGGTGTCTGTGAATGGTCATGGTGGACACTCGTGTGCGGGTCGCACTTCTGATGGTTAATAGCGATGAATCAGGCGCTGTGACAGCTGATCTGACAATCACTCTATCCTCCCAAATTGTTGTGGCCCTAGGTCGACTGCTGCTATCATTATGCTGAATTCTGCCATTGTCCATCCATTCTTGCTAGCATCTTATAATTGCCACATCACTTCGACTCATATGACGAGTGATTCTCTGATTTGCCCAGCCTGCCTCTTTCAATCCAATGATACGACCTCTTTCAAACTCTGACAGTTGCCCGCAATGAGCTAGAATCCTGCAGTGAGATATTTTTTCAGCCATTGAACGGTATCCAAAATCACAATGCAACAGAAATTTTTAACAACAGTTCAAAAACAGCTCCTTATGTATATCTGCTGGATGCGCAGTTCCGATGCACTAGAGATCACACTATTAATTCATTGAATACCAAATTTTTATCATTTGCATATTTGGCCAAAACATTTATGCATACGAAATAT